CTTTGCCCATACTCTCTTACCGGTGGAGGAAACCTTCCTTCTCCTAATCTACAAAGTCCTCCCTCATTAGTGCTTTAAGTTTAAAGCCAGCTTCTGCACTTGGGGACTCACTCCCATTTTTCACCTCTTCAATGGGACATTGCTCCAGCAGTTTTTCTCTCACTCTCTTGTAACATCAATTTGTCCCTCTCATTTGGACATATTTTATCTCATATTTTTTAAAAACCCTGTCTGGATCCCTTGAATCTACTCCAGTCATGCCTTCATTTCTCATCTAACTGTAATCGTCTCTAGGTCATGAGTGACCTCTGTGTTACTGAATCTAAGTCTCCTCATCTTACTAGGTTGATTGGCAACTTCTATGCAGTTGATCACTCTTCCCTTTGAAATGTTTTCCTGTCTTGATTTTCAGTATGCTACACTCTTGTGGTCTTCTTCCTACCTCCCTGGCTATTGCTTCTCAGATCCTCTGCTTACTGATTCCTCCTTTTATTCCCAGTTAACACTGGACTGTCCCAGAGTCCAGTTTTTTGATCTCTTCATTTACACTTATTTGATTGGTGTTTATTATGGCTATCTATCCATCTATTAATCTGCCTATTATCTCTGTCTAAGGCCCTCCCCAAGGACCATTAGGCGTCTGCGTTAAGAGTAGACATTTGGGTGCATGTTTATTATGGCCATCTATCCATTCATTCATCCATATATTATCTTCATCTAAGGACCTCCCTGAGGATCATTAAGCTTCTGTATTAATAGTAGACATTTGGGCCCAGGGTTTCACAATTTAATGGGAGAGATTAGTTATGATGCTTCTGCAGCAATGGTAGCAATAGAGAGGGTGAGAGATGGTCATGTCCTGGATGAAGTTTTGAAGGTAGAAATAACAGGATTTGCAGACAGATTGAACATGGATGGAACAGGGATTGATTTAACAGGGATGGAAAAGTTAGGGATGAAACCATTGTTTTTGTCCTGAATGACTAGAATGATGGAGTTGTTATTAACTGGTGTGAGAAATACTCTGATAAGATCAGTTTTGGTATCTGTGAATGGGTGTAGTGGGGAGGCAGGGAATCAGGAGTTCATTTTTGTATAGTTTGGAATGAAGAAGTGTTGATTAGGCAGTTTGCACATGTGAGACAGTCTACTCCATGAGATTAGGAGCTCCACCTGTGCCTTGTTCATTGTAATTAGCATAGTACTTGGCACATAGAAAGTATTCGGATATTTTAATTGTTGAATGCAAGATGCTTCTCAAGGTAATTTTTACTGTGACTCTTTTGGGATCTTCCTCACCAGCTGAGTGCTTCCTTCTGTGACACTACTCCATACCTCATAATACTCACCACACTGATGCTTTATCTATCTCCCCAGATTTTAGATTCAATTACTATAAGGAAAGTGGGTTAGCCACTCTCTGAGATCTGGGTTGAGGCCCTGATCATTCAGGGAAATTAGAATGAGAAACTGAACTACAAGGAGAAGCAGTAAAAAATAAAGGAGAAAGAGCCAAGTTAAGAGTTACCAAGATTAGACTTGGTGACTATCTTGGGGGAATACAGTGACACCTTACATTAGAAAATAATTTGGTGGCTCGGTGCCTGTGGCTCAAGTGGCTAAGGCACCAGCCACATACACCTAAGGTGGCGGGTTCAAATCCAGCCTGGGCCCACCAAACAACAATGATGGCTGCAACCAAAAAAAATAGCCAGGCATTGTGGCAGGCGCCTGTGGTCCTAGCTACTTGGGAGGCGGAAGCAGGAGACTTGCTTGAGCCCAGGAGTTGGAGGTTGCTGTGAGCTGTGATGGCACAGCACTCTACCCAGGGGGACAGCTTGAGGCTCTGTCTCAAAAATAATAATAATAATAATTTGGTGAGGGTGGCACCTATGGCTCAGTGAGTAGGAACCTGGCCCCATATACTAAAGGTGGTAGGCTCAAACCTTGCCCCAGCCAAACTGTAACAAAAAATAGCCAGGCATTGTAGTGGGCACCTGTAATCCCAGTTACTTGGGAGACTGAGGTGAGAAAATCACCTATGCCCAGGAGCTGGAGGTTGCTGTGAGTTGTGATGCCATGGCACTCTACTGAGGGTGACAGAAAAAAAATAATAATTTGGTGGGGTGGAGATATTTAGAAATTTTGAATTAATTTGAATTGTCTTTAGAACAAGATGGCATTTTGCCCCAACTGTTGACTGTATAGTTTGGCACTCAGGGAAAGCCTGGGTCAGAAAAATGGCTTTGAGAATCACCAGTACATTAATAGTAATTGATTTTTGAAATATAAATATACAGTTATCCCACTTTCCCAGATGAAGAAACTGGGGCTCATAAATGTTAAGTAACTTGCCAAATCCCCAGAGCAAGAAATCTAACCCTGCTTATTTTTTCCCACGTTCCATGCTTGTGACTTTGACCTCAAAACCTGTGTTCTTCCAACAAGGACAGACATTTGGCCTGAAAATTATAAAAACACTTGCTGAAGAATTTTATAATGTTTTCCTTATGTTGTAATTTTTTGCTTCACTTTGTGTATACCATCTTCCCCTAAAATTACACTTTGGCCACTTTAGCCACAAATTTCCTTCTAAAAGGAAGGGAATAACCCAAATCTTATACTTAACTATTGAGCAGAACAAGAATATCCTCAAGGTGTACTATTCTGCCTTCCAGGAAGACCAGTGCCTCCTCTAACTAAAGTAATTGAAGAAGGAAGGACTGTGTCTACTTAGGTCTCAGAGGTTCTAGGGAATATAAGTATGATGGCCACAATGAAAAGGTCCAACTGGGTGGGCAGGGTTACCAAGGCTGCCTTTGGTGGTGGATCACCCACAGTGTTGGTGCTAGGTTGGGGGTTGGGGGTAAGAGGCTCAACAGCACAGGTAGCAGGAAAGAGTTCTGCGGGTACTGAGAGGACTCCTAAAGTAAGTCTGTAGGGGCACTTTCATTTCGTATGTGTGGGAGGGAGAAATGTGGGCAGGATATCATTTGGAGGGCCTTGCATCTCTTAGCAGCTGCTTATAGATAGTATCAGCTTGCCTCTCAGCCTCCCTCTCAGACTCTTGCCTCTCAGTTTCCCTCTTAGTTTTCTCTATTTCATTCCAAGGGTTTCAGAGAATTGCACATAATAGTTCTACTAATGATAAACAGATATTTCCCCCAAATAGCAAAACACTGGACATTACCAGAGAGATGCAAAGGAACCAGAGTCCACTTCAGCTATGAGCTGCTGATCTGGTTGTTAAAGATTAGTGTGTGGTGTTACAGTCAAGATTTTTGGTCACTTTCTATGGCTAATTAATAGGACACTTTCCAAAAACCTTAAAGTCTCTAAACAGTTAAGGTGAATGGTTTTTAGTGCTTAAAAAAAAATGTACTGAGATGTAATGAAAAGATAGGAAAGGCTGAGAGGAACCGATCAGGAGCTGGAGCCTCCAGTCTTATGTGGTGCCAGTCTTGACAAGGAATCATCCTCTGGTGGGGAGGCACAAGGAAGATCTTAGGAGGGGATTCAGCTGACTGAGTTAGACACATTAGTTACTATGAAGCAGTAAGGATTGCGGAAAGGAGAGTGATGAAGTAGGACCTCAAGTGCAGTCGGTATAGACACAGGACACAGTAGTAGGGCTGGGTACAAGATGCTGGTCGTAACTTGTATAAAAAGAAAATTACAGCCTCAGGCAGGTACCTGTGAAGAACTGGACCCACAGATCATTCATTAGGAAATTTATTAATCTCCCCTAAGCAAAGACATGCAAATTGTACCTATATCTAGCACCTAAAACTAAAGTCTATGTAATCCCACACTAGTAATGAATTACAAGTTTATCTTGCAGGTAACAGAGCTGGAGACAAGACAGAATCAGACATTGTTACACCTAACCAGGAGTTAGGAGTGCCACAGTGCCCCCTCGTGAGGAGGTTACTTTTGTGTTTATCAGTTATCTCCATAACTGATGCTTCCTTCATTCCCTTATTTTATGTATAATGTAGATTTCTTGACCTTCACAATAATGTAACCACTATCGCATCATCCCCTCATCTCTTTCCTTTTCTGTATGCCTTTAAATGCAGAAGTTTCCAACCTCCCCTTCAGAAAAATGGGCACAACTTGTTTGTGGTTCATGTTTTTCCTGGATGCAGCCTTAAAATCTTGGCTTAGTTAACCAACATTGACTGAGATTTTTGCCTCAGTCATTTATTTGAGTTGACACTTGACAGCTTTAAATATATTTAGAAAACCTGGTATGTTTGTGTTTCTTTCCCAGAAATTTCAGTGATTAACTCCCTGGCCTGCATCACACTAAGAGCAAGCAGAATGAAGCTCAGAGTTTACTCCCTCCCTTCCCAGAGTATTTGAGCACTGGGTTTGCCTCTTGACTTTTCTCCAAGGCATGTGTCACCTCTTGTTAGACCTCCAACTACATGTTCCCTCTCCCTACCTTTCCCTAAGGGTGAAGTACAAGTCCCTCTCCATTTTCTACTGTGATGGCATTCCAGGCCCCATTCATTTTATGCAGCTGAAAGGCAGCAGAGGTGACAAGTAGGCAGCAGCATTACCGTGGGTACCCAGATGAGTTCTCTAGAAAGATCTTCCCAGTACAAACAGGGAGCAAGCAGAGAAGATTCTGTCATCTGGATTTGACATCTCTGGTTTTGATAAACACAAAAGTAACCTCCTCACGAGTGGGCACTGAGGCACTCCTCTAAATCTACCCATCTGACCCATTTGTGGGTTAAACCCCTTCCCTAGATAGGAAGGACTTTTTAGCCCACCCGACCCCCATGTCTTCCCTTAACACAATACAGCAGAAACAAGGAGCAGACTGACGACTGTTTGCTTATATATATAATGTATTTCAGGTGGCTCTCTGCCCCACCTGCACATTTATGGGAATGAAACAGCAGTCTTCTTAACAGAATGTGGTGATTGGGCAGCCTACAAGCTCTCTTTCATTCCCATTGGCGTTCTCGAGCAGACAGACTTCGGTGTTTCTATTTGAGGTGGGGGTTGGGAGCTAAAGAGGATGCCCTTGGCTGGTTGGCACAAGCCCCTCGAGGACAGTGCCAAGGGCAGTGGCAGGAACGGCCCAGGACTGAGGCACAGGCAGGTTGTCTGAAGCGAAACCGGAGATTGTTGTCTGAGATATAGGCACCACCTGAGAAGACTGGGACCACTGGCTTCTCCATGGTGGGAGAGTGGCCCTTGGAGTGCCCTGTTGGCTTCTCCGTCCTAGTTCTCCCCTTAAGGCTTTTGGCTGGAACCAGGCTCTTTTCAACATTTTCTTTCCTGGTTTTGGCCACTTTCTCAGCTATAGAGGACATGGATTCCTCATGCCGTTTGCCTTTTGTCATGAGGTTAATACGGTGTAGGAAGGATTTCATTTTATTTTTTAAGCTACATTTTGGGAGGCTGGGCCTCTTGTGAGTAGAGGCTGGCATCACCTGTTCATGCAAAACCTGGTCTTGCAAAGTTTGGCCCTGCAAAGGCTTATCCTTGATTAGTTGGCTTGGGAAAGGCTGGCCCTGTGAAGACTGGGGCACCTCACTCTGGGCAGTTTTAGGAATTATTTCTGGTTTGAGGATGACATTTAGCTCAGTTTGACTGTCTTGCAGGGCATTCTCAGGTGCTTTCCCCCCAGGGGCTCCTGGGTGTAGGTCTGACAGCTCAGGCTGAGGGTGATGCTGGGGGCTGTGTTGACAGGGATGAGCAAGATGATGAAATCTATGGCTGTGTCTCCAGGAGCCTTGGGATATCTTGTTCGGAAGCCTGTCTGCTGGCCTCTGGTCTTCACCAGGGTGTCTTTCTTCTCTGGTTGAGGAGAGACTAAACCCTGCATCCCCTGCTCCATGGTCCCCAACTACTTTGGGTTTCCCTGGATCTTCTATCTTTTCTGCCAATGTGGGGACTTGGGCTGAGTCCTTGCTCTTGTCTGGGCTTTGGGGCTCAGGGCTCCAGGGTTCCTCCAGGCTGGGGTTGTTCACACTGGCCTCCACCTGAACACAAAGCACCTGGGCCTCTGTCATGTACCCACTGGGTTGTGGAATCTTGGAGATCCAGTGGGCAGAACCTTGGGGCACTGCTCTGGAACTAGGTTGCTTATGGTTCTGCTGCACTGGCTTCAAGTCAGTGGCCAGCTGTTCTGTAACGTTAACTGGATGTAGGTCTGGGGCACGAGTGTCTGGTGGGATGGATAGTTCCTGGACCAATGTTTTTCCTTGGTTATTTCGACTCCTATGAGAGTCCCGTGTGGATTTGTCCTCTGGGACTGCTGCAGTTTGTTCCATGGACTCTCTCGCCCTTATGGGAATTCCCATTTGAATCTCTAGGATCTTTTTTCTGAGGTGGAAATTCAGTTTGGCCAAGATATGTGTCTTGAGTGACACGGGGTTAGAAGAATGTATCTGGCTGTGTTGAGACACCGCCTCCATCGTTCCTTCCACTTCCACTGCAGGCTGGAGCTCTTCCGCAGCATCTGCACAAGTCTCATTGTTGTCTTGAGAGCAGGGCCCAGGGCTTGAACGCTCTCCTTCAAGTGAGATCATCTCAGCCAGAGGCTCTGCTGGAACTTCGACAGACTCAGGCACCATCTCTGTGGTGACAGGTTTGCTAGTGACAGCAGGGGCCATGGCTCTGGAGAGAGCTACATAGTAGAGAGCAGGCAGCCCTGACAGGAAGGCCAGATACTTGTGCCGTAAAGTTGTCTCCAGTTTCTC